CCAACAGCCTTCCTCCAAGAATTACTTCTTGCCCCCCTGGGGGAGACAGCGCCTCCAGTGAAGGAAACAAACGATTGTAGAGCAGGGTGGTGAGGGCAGTAGAGAAAGAGGCAGAGCTGCAGTCACTCCACCGCCCATGGCTGGGGAGGCCCGCGGTGTGGGCGGCATCTGGAAGACTTCAGGAGGAAGATGGAGGTGCTGCAGACCCCCAAGGGCTAATCAGGGCTGCCTGGCAGCCACAGGGAGGGCCGTCCCCACAGACAGGCACAGGGGCTGTGGGGCCGTGTGCCCGCTCCAAGTGGGTGCGGGTGGGGAGGCCCAGGTGGGCAGGGCCAGTGAGGGGGGCCTCGGACGCCGAGCCTGAGAGCAGACCTTATCCCGAGGACCGTGGGCACACAAAAAGTCTTAAAGAAGGAGAATGACTGGGCCGTCTTTATACGTTTTCCAGTCCGTTCAGGCTTTTGTGTGGATGAGGCAGGGAAATCAGGTCTGAGAACTATAGAATTTGTAGAAGTTGAAGCCAGAAATATGAGGACTTGGGCGCAGTGGCCTGTGAGGATGAGCGAGGAAGGAGAGGGCTTTTGGAGGCAGGATGAAGTGAAACCGTTCATGCGACAACACCTGGCATGTTGCAGGTAACTGATAAAAGGGCTTATTCCTAAAACCAACTGTTTGGGACCATATAGGAGCTGGGCACTGCAGCAGCTTCTCAGCAGCCTCAGAACTAGATTGCTCAAGCCCTTCAGTGGCCCAAGGTTTGATATCTGTTAAGTCAATGTTATTCTTTGAGGTAACACTGGGCAGAGTACACCTAGCTGGTGAGCTGCGAGGGGACGGCCCGGGCTGCTCCTTGGTTGAGCCCCAACCGCTGAGCTGAATGAGCCCAGGAATTACGTGCAAGGCCTCTGCAGGGTTTTTTGCACCGACTGTCCATGTCCGCTTACCTCTCGGCTCCAGTCAGCCTGAATCCACTGCCTACATCGCCGGTTGCACGAGCCTCTCCTTCTGCCTGGGTTTGCTCTCCTCTGGGAATGAACTCATCTGCTACCCAGACCTTTGAGAGAGGACCACACACTCGCTCCTGTTTGTCTCTAGTTCTCAGGAAATTAGTCTGCTTAGGGATTACCCACATGAAGCTTTTCACTTCCTGCCTGTTAGGAGCTTGGAGGACGATGAAGAAACTAAAAGATGGCAGCAGAGATATACTCTGTGGGGGAAATGAGGAACGTTAATGTAGGAACGGACTTTCTGTTAAGCGCAGGAGCAGGGGTCGGTGGTCTTTTGGCCATGGAAGGGCTGTTTCCCGATCCTGGAGGCCAGGGAAGAATTCCAGGAGGTTGGCCGGCCAGGGTGCTGCTACGGCTGGTCCCGCTGCTCTCTGTGCTGGGCAGCTGGCAGCAGCATCCGCCCAGAGAGCCGCCCGAGCAGCCCTTGGGGTGTACAGGGAGCTGTCTGTCCACAGCCTGGGGCCCTATGACACATGCTAACACACAGTCTCTCTAGCTGTATGCAGAGCACACATGCTGTGTGTGATAAGATGGCTTTGAAGTAAAGATGAATGCTCGTCTGCCTGCTCTGAATCAAATCCATCTACTGGGGGCCACCTCCTCCATGCTCATCATAGAACACCCCTTTATGACAGAGTAGAACATCCCTTCCAGCCCCTTTCAAGGCATTCTGAAGCCTGCCACAGTGACAGCAGGAACCGAGGGCTGCCAGCCTCCATCCCAGCCACCCCTGGTATGCCCCTCTCTTTGGCTTCCCTTGTCTCAGCCTCACTTGGCCTCCCGCATTGGCCGTCTGCTCAGCCTACCTCCAGTTGGACTGACAACTGAGTCTCAGACTGTTTACCTTGGCTCTGTCATAAGGCCTCGAGAACACTGCTTTGTGAAACTGCCCTCTGCGTGTTTGCCATGAAACTTGGGCAAAGGGCCTTGGCCCTATGCCTGCCCAGGGTGTAGGATTTGGATTCAGCTGGGCTCACAGAGCTTTCCAGATTCTACTTATTTGTCAGGAGAAGGTGGAAACAGCAGTGCTGAGAGGAAACCAGAGCTGAGGACGATTAAGGAGCTTGCTAGGGAGCCCTCAGATGTCCCAGCGAGGCCAGAACTTCTGACATGGCTTGCATTTCCCTCCAGGCAGGGGCTACCCAACTATTGAAAGGACATCTCCTATGAGAGCTGACTCATGGGTTTTGGTATCAGCGGGAGGTCTTCAGCGGCTTGCCACAGTCCTCACATAGTTCCCACTTAAAAAATAACTGGATTAGGAGCTCCTTGACAAAGTGAATTAATTCTGAGCTCCCTTGATGATAGATAGCTGTTCTGTCCAGTATGGTAGCCACTAGACACATGTGACTATTTAAAACTAAATAGTTTAAGATCAAATAAAATTAGAAGTCTAGTTCCTCAGTTACTACTTTCTAGTGTTCAATAGCCACTGTCAGCAAGTGGCCACCATGTTATATAACAGATACAGAATGTTTCCATCATTGCAGAAAGTCCTGCTGGACGGTGCTGTTATATAGCATTCGGCTAACTAGAAAGAAGGAAACATCTTAAGCCAAAAGAACTCACTCCTTAATTTAGAGAAACAATTATAATCCAAGGGAAATAAGGTTTTTAGAATGTTCGGTTGATGGCGTGACATTGGATAGGTTTGGTGAAGGATCAGAAGACATGGGCAATATCCCCTGCTGTTTTCTGACGCAAGCTCGAACAGACACTACCCAGCCAAGTGGTCAGTTCTTATTCCCACAGGGTCCTCATGTTCTGGACTCTTGCCTTGGCTCCCAGGCGTCTGAAACAGTTAATGACCAAGATAACACGACAGAGAACAATATTGTGCTTGAATTGTTCAGCAAAATATAAAACGAGTGACATGGAATACGACAACTGACAGTACGTTTCAAAGTGTATAGTAAAAATCCCACGTAACAAGTGTCGGCAGTCACCACGCTCTGAGTTGTCTGCCATTTTGCAATAGCCCCGTTGCGCTCAGCCCATGGAGCAAGTGTTCATGCTCCTTTGAGCTCTGTCCTGGGTCCTGTTCTCTCTTCACTCTCCACATTCCCCTGAGTGCGACTTGACTTCACACACGAGCCACATGCTCATGGTTCCCAAGTCTGTATTTCTAGCCCCAGACCACTCTCCCATGCTCCAGACCTCTGAATTCAAATGCCCACTAATAATCTCCAGCTGGCCATGCCACAGACACTCCAAACTCATCCCCAGGTCGCCCAGCCACACTGCACCCTCCTCAGGTCCTGGCTTCACCCACGGCAATGCTCTTCAAACTAGAAGCCAGAGCCTGGGTGTCATCCTTGACCTGGGCATGGAAATCCTCTCAGTCACCAAGTCCTGTTGATGCTGACTCCCAAATAACTTCTTGAATTTATTGACTTGACCCCTTCCTTCTCTACTCTCTTAGTTTATCTTTCAGAGCCTGGTCATGAAACCATTTCCTAGTCATTCTCCTTGGTGCATTCCATGCTTCACACTGCAGCCATAACAGCCTTCGGCCACCTGACAGTGTCCCTCCATGGCTCAAAACCTTCCATGCCTCCCTGTTACACTTGTCCAAATGACTTTCTTTTTACTTATTTATTCTTTTATTAGTTTCAGGTGTTCAAAACAACATCATAATTAGATATTTACACCCCTTATAAAGTGAGAACCCTCCAGGTCTACTACCCATCTGACATCATATATGGCTGTTACAATACCATTGACTATATTCCCTGTGCTGTACTTTACATCCTGTGACTATATATAAATATATACATATATTTATATATGTATTTAATTATATATATTTAACATAATTACATATATATATTTAATTATAATTTATATATAATTTATATATATATATATTTAATTATAATTGACATTCAATATTATTCTACTTCAGCTTCAGGACTTTGTGTAGTCACAAGCTCATCTTGATTTGGCCCTGATTACATCTCCAGCTGCTTCTCTTACCTTCTCTCCCTCGTACAATATTCTGCAAATAAACGTAGCTTCATTTAGTTCCAGGAATCCATCATGCTTAACTTTGCATTGGGATCTTTGCACACTCCATTTCCAGAAACACTTTCACCTCTCCATGGCTTCTTTCCTCATTTTTCTCCATGGTTTATTTAGTTTAAATGTCATTTTTCCCCCAAGAAAACTCCCCCCAACTCCCCAGTGTGGGGCTAACTAGCCCTGTCATATACCCATTGAAGTGGATTGAATGATGGCCCCCCAAAAGACAAGTCCACATTCCAGCTCCCAGAACCTGTGAATACTACCCTAATTGGACAAAGGGTCTTTGCAGATATAACTAAAGATCTTGAGATCAGATCACTCTGGTTTCTCCAGGTGGGCTCTAAATACAATGGCAAGTGTCTTCACAAGAAACACAGAGAGAGGAGAAAACGGATATGTGACTAAAGAGACAAAGATTGGAGCTGTGCAGCCCTAAGCGGAGGAGTGTCTGGAACTACCAGGAGCCAGGACAGGTAAGGAAGGACTCTTCCCTAGAACCTTCTGAGGAAGCGTGGCCCTGCTGACACCTTGATTTCAGACATCTAGCCTCCAGCACTGTGAGAGAATACATTTCTGTTGTTATAAGCCACCTGGTTTGGTTGACTTGTTTCAGCAGCCCTAGGGAACTAACGCACCTCCCCTTAACTTCTGATACCGCTTATCACAATGCCTCAAAGTGGCCTCTGTCCTTGTTTGTCTTCCTAATTTGCAATGTTTCATGAGGCCAGAAACATGCATATGTTTACAATTGCATCCCCAACACTGGCTCAGGACCTGGTACAGATTAAGAAATCAGTAAGCATTTGATGTATGAATGAAGCAGTGTTGACTGATATGCACAAGATAAGCTTTGGGGAGGAGATGGACTTGAGTTGGTCTGATGAAACGGGCAAGATTTGGGTAACACTGGGAATGGGAGTGGTTATTACCAGTAATAGGAGCCAAACTAACGTGGGCCTGGAGATGAGGATGTGAATAATACTCGAGCTCATAGAGACCAGCCTGCTTACAGCAAGGGGTTTCTAGGGCAAAGCCAGGTGATCTCCAGGGTGATAGAAGCTTCTCCTGTAGGCCAGACTTCCCTGGAAGGTGCACTCAGCACCTTTGTTTGCTGCAAAGCAGCCACAGTTTGTCATGCCACCTGTTCTCCCCAGAATGGCTGGCAGATCTGGAGTCTCAGAGCAGCCCACCACAGCATACATATGTTATCATGTTCTTTGAGTGCCATGGCTGGAAAAAGACTGGGAAATACTGCTAAGATGAGGGACCATTAATGCTTCTTGAGCTGAAACATGAATAGGACCAGCTACATAATTTGTGGGCCACAGTACAAAATAAAAATGTGGACCTCTGATTCAAATACCATTAAGAATTTCAGGATGGCAAGAGCAGAGCCTCAAAGTGTGGAGCCCCTCTAAATGTGGGGTTCTGTGTAATTGCACAGGTCTCACACCCATGAAGTGGACGCTGACCATGGAAGAGAGATTTGCTCAAATGGATGCGAAGTCATGTGAAATGGGTTGAAATTGTAGGGGCCATGTCAGGGGATGAGGTAAGGGGATCTACTGCAGTAACCCAGGAAGGTGGGGGTAAGGAGGCCCTGGCTAAGATGGTTTCATGGGAGTGCAAAGGGAGGAAAAAGGCAAATCAAAGAGATGCTATGTGCTCAGAGTCAGAGATGCTTCTGGGTCTTGCCAGACTTCTCAGAGCACAGGGAGGCATCAGGGAAGCCCTCAGGAATTGGGGAACATCAGTGTGTCATTGGCCTTTTGCTGGGAGCTGCAGCAGGCAGGAACGACTAGAGCTCAGCAGAGGCGATGGGAATGAACACGGGCATTTCACTCCACAAAGGAACCTCCTAGAGATTTCAGGTAGCTGCCTAATAACTTCTGCTGTCATGAGGGAGTTGCATAGGAAAGGTGGTGGGAGAGGGCAGCCCTCAAATGCTTTTAGGGGCCGGGATGTGTGAGGATGGCAAGTGCTGGGGACCGAGCCAGCTCACGACTGTCCACAGGTGACAGCCACTGTGCAGCCTCAGCTGCACACGGTTATGTAGGAGCCCAGGGGCATAGTGGCCAGAGCTTCAGATTTTTAATGAGAAGCCAAAGATTCACAATGTGAAATTGTCTTTATTTTTTAAGTGCTGACAATTAAGCAAATGTTTTCTTATAAATACTATAAACCAAGCAACACACACCCATGGGCCAACCTGGCTCTGGCCTCAGCTAGCAGCCTCTGTACAGGACACAGTGGATAAGAACTGGGGTGAGTTCAAGTCCCCCTCTGCCACTTGGCCAGCTGTGGTCCTCAGGCAGAGTCCTGCTAAGCCTCGCTTTTCTGTATAATGGGGACAATTGTAACATTAATCCTGCAGGGTGGTGGTGAGGATTAAGTGACATCTTTCAGGTAAAGCACAGATGACAGTATGTATAATAAAAACTACATAAGTGTTGGTGTTGCTGTTCTTAAGTCTCTACTATGTGTGAGCTTCTGTGCTGTGCACTTGGTGTATTTTATTTTATGCTCACAACCGCACCATCAAGCAGGTTTTCTCACAGTATACCTATATCCCACAAGTGGGGTGGCAAGACAGGCTCAGAGATAGGAAGTCCCTTGCCTCAACTCATGGGCTGTAAGTCTGAGCAAGAATTCAGATCTCATTATTTCTGCCTCCAAAGGTGCTGCTTTTTAAATAGTGGTTCTTACCCTGTACTGACTCCTGTATTTTTATTTTGGAGGTTCCTAGAAAAAATGTTCTAGCCAATAGTACTTTTCAAAGAACATTTTAGTAACAAGACAAACTCCAAAAAGGAAAAAAAAAAAGTGTCCTCTAATCAAACTCTCTCAAAACAAAAGTAGTGAAAGCTGCTGGCTCATCCCCCACCCCCATCCAAGGACTCTTAAATAGCATTGTTTAGGGGAACACATTACTCTTTGTATTTTCCTGATTCTCCAGGTTGTCCCCTGCATTCCTAGTCTGCCTCAGGGGGGAAGGAGTTGACAGTTTAATGGACAAGAGACCTAAGCACAGTCCCCTAAGGCAAGAGTTTAACAGGTAGGACGTCATGCCTTTATTGAGCAGACCAACTCCCTCGGGATGCTGAGCAACGGTGACAGGTGTCAGAGCCTCACAGGGGGCCCTCGGGCCTCTGAGCCCTGGAAGGCAATTAGGTACGGCTCCGTGGTAGACACTCCATGTTTGTCCTCCATCTGCAGACTGACCATTACATCTCCCATTTGTCTTGGGGACTTCACACTCTGGAGCTGTCTACCGAGAATCTTCCAGCAATCAGAATTTCTTTTCTCAAAAAAAAGAAAAGGGAAGAAAAGATTCGCCTTGTTTGTAGATCTGAAAGTAGCAGGCATTTTCACGCATTCCTGGAACAAAGTCTGGGCGTTTGAGTTGGGAGTGGAATTGTGGTCGGGGAGGTCCCAGCTGGGCACATCAGAGTGATGAAAGGCAAGGCAAATGGCTTTGGTTGATTCTTTTGGCAATAGTCATTCCAGGAGGGCTGAGAGCACGATGTTCTCAGGAACAGCCTTGACAATGACATGATTTGTTCCCTTCCAAAGCCGAAAATGGTATCTCAGCCTGCAACGGGGAGCATTCTTCCGAGCCTGTGGATGGGAGAGCAGATTTCGTCCTCCACAGCAGGAAATGAAAGCATTTAGCAGAGCGGACTCCAATCGAAATATCATCTGGCCAGAACACTTGCCTAAACAATACATATTTTGTGTTGGAGGAGTTTCTCTTCAGCCTTTTCATGGGTGGGATTTCAGACGAAGATGCCCCTCTTTCTCAATGACCAGATAGAAACAGAATATTGCCTCCATCCGAGAGGCACCACCCTGTGCTATTTCTGTAATTCGCGGCAGAAAAGAGGTCCTCAAGTTTGACCCAAGCCAGCTGATATTTTTGGCCCTAGGCTGATACCTACTTAAGTGGTTTTCTTCACTCTTTCCTGGTTTCTTTTAGAGAGTTGGAAGCATGTAAAGGAAGCCTCAGCGCTTTCTCAACGGGGGAAGCTAAAAGCTAATAGGCATTTACGCCATTTAGAAATAATAATGGTTGCAGCTAGCTAGCAGTTAATACTTACTATAAGTGATTGCCAATCTCGTGAGCTGCACAAACGCTACAGATAGAAATAGGTGAGGGCTCCCATGCTGTCTCCTTCAGTAAAGTGCATAGATTAAGCTTGACTCTGGCCAAAAAACAATGAGTCACCAGAGATGTGACCCCTACCCCCACTGAAATTACAGTAGAATGCAAGAGCACGTGCCCGCAGTCACACACAAGCACACCACACACCAAAAGACAGGCACAGTCCCCAATCTGTGCACTGTGCAAGTTCATTCTAAATCGATGGCTTGAATTCACGTCGCATTTGCCAATATAAATTATATACTAAAGGCGGAGTAAGTTCTTGGGCTGGCCAACCACAGCCCATTTGCTTCTTCAGACAACTGGAGGATTTGTCCACTTTTTGTAACTTTGTTTCTATGGACTAATGTATTGATCCCCATGTCCTCGTAGTAAGCCCCAGAAGCTCTACATCACCATCCTACTGGAGGGAATGCCCCCTCCTCTCTCTTTTTACTGGGATTCTGCTTTCTTAGGGGTTCCCATGGGGTGGGGAGATGGTACCTGGCTTTGGTGGGAGTAGAGATAGGTGGCATGTCCACCTGAGCCAGGTGGACATGCCACAGCAGGGAGGCCTTCAGGGCATGGAAGGAGCGGGTCATTCTAGGAAGGAGTTTCAATCTTAGGTGGCATTTACTAGTAGTCATGGGGCCTCTGACAACACCTCCTAATGAGCCCCTCTGCCTGCAGGGACCCTCCGAAGCTCAGTTTCCACATCTGGAAAATGAAAACAACAACAATACTAAATAATGCTTCCCACATGGGGTAGTGAAGGTAACGAGATGGGGTATGAGAAAGGGCCTAATGTGATGACACGCTGTCACATAGCTGGCATTCAGGAAATACTGAGTCTGTGTCTGTTAGAGAAAGAAGCAGCATGTACGGAAGCACAAGCAAGTACAAATACGCTGAGTACAAGCTATATACAGGCTGAGAAATAGGTGTGGGGTAATTTGGATGTGAAGTACTTTGTGGGCTAGCTGATAAAGTTATCCAGGAACACTCTGGGACACTTCTATGTGGATGCCCCTTCCAGGGCGTATCTCTCAGCATAGCCAGGCTTTTTTGGGTTCTTCCTGATGGTGTGGGTTTGGATCCAGGAACACTCTGGGACACTTCTATGTGGATGCCCCTTCCAAGGCGTATCTCTCAGCATAGCCAGGCTTTTTTGGGTTCTTCCTGATGGTGTGGGTTTGGTCAGGGCTTCTGTGCGGGGCTCTTGGCTCTGCTTCTGTTGCTGCTGATAAGAGGGTGCTTAGCTCCGCCCATGGAGGGTTGCAAGATTTAGCAAGTAAAAATACAGAATGCTCAGTTAAATTTGAATTTTAAACA